TATACGCAAATCCGTAGGTGTCGTTTTTTGCGAAATGCAGAATTGTATCTAGGTATATATACAGGTATACTTGATTGTATTGTTAAACTCCCTGAAGAAATGTGCGCTAGTCACACGAAACGCGTAGGAGAAAATAAAAAAGTGTTAGAACTCAAGTAGTTCGCAGACGTGCTGCTCACTGGTTTTACTTTAAAAAATAACTGAGTCGCCAGTCTGCTAACAGAAGTCGCCAGTCTGCTAACAGAAGTCGCCAGTCTGTTAACAGAAGTAGCTAGTCCGCTAACAGAAGGCGCTTACCGCTAACAGAAATAGCTTGTCTGCTAAAAGAAGTCGTTAGTCTGTTAACAGAAGTCGCCAGTCTGCTAACAGAAGTCGGTAGTCTGTTGACAGAACTCGCTTATTGTTATCGTGGTCTAAACAACGTAGAGCTACCCGTTCCGCACATTAATGGAATTTCGTTGCAAAGGAAATCCCGTTTTTTCAGCGAATCAACACATTTGCTCCGTTTGCACCCAAATGTTTGAAAACGTTTAGTGTAGACAAGCTTCAATATGTTCTTCATCCCTAATGCAACGATTTTGTCTCCTCCGACTAGACTCAAACCAAAAACTACTAGAAATGTTGTAATAGTGAACATGTTTTGATTATCGTTTGACTTGATCAAAAGTGAAAAATTAACAAATAAATTCCATGTTGCCGTGCGTCTGTTCAGTAATAGATCACAGATGACGTCAAAATGTGGTAAGAACAAAAAGTGGCACACGAGGCGATAGCCTAGTGTGTCACTGATGTACTTGCCACATTTTGACGTCTTCTATGATGATAATACTGAACAGACGCACGGCAACATGGAATCTATTTGTTTTATCTAATAAAGAAACAAACTACTACACATAAAGCTTTTATTTTAGAATCTTTCACCATAAGTTCTATAACTCGAAAGCCGGCCTTTGCCCACTTTGGCGAACCCGAAAAAAAAGCAATTTGACGTAATCTATTGTCTATACAAAATGAAGCAATCTCATTGGTTGCTATACGTAGCAAAGAATTGTGATTGGTCCAGGAAAATCACGCCAATGTCAAACCTGACTCGAAAATCGCTTCTCGTGAAATGAAAACTTATAGTGAAAGCAGAATTGAACTGCGAAATCTACAAAGCTTAAAGAAAATTCTAGAAAAGTCAGGCCAGTTTTGTCATTGTAGTAGCCCTGTGAGCCGAAAAGCTTGGATGTTGCCTTGAATATTGCAGGAGTTGAAAAAGTACGCTCGGAAAACTTGTGGTTACGGTCAACACTGGAGGCCATTCGATTCGAGTTTTAAATGAAAGGAATGTTAGTGACGGTGGTGAAAATTTGTGTCCTCTGTGGTAGGTGATTCTCAAATCAGTTTGATATAGTGTCGGAGACACCCTATAGCTGCGATACAGTTGGCCGTGAGCCGTGGTTAACAATACTTTGCTCGCTGCTGTGCCCTGAAACGGACTAGAACTTTCGCGTCGGAAAGCAAGGTTATGTGTTTATTTTAACTGATTTTGAAGTTTCATTCCTGCAATCTGCGTCAACAATGATTTTGAGAATGAGAAAAGTTGAATTGCTTTAAAAAAATTAATGATACAACAATTTTGGTTATTGGGGTCGTTAAATTCGAGAGAAAGTAATGGTTTCGAGTCTTATCTTAAAGTAATTTCAAAACCAATTTTGTGTTTGATTTAGTCTCGCTCGACTGCCGACTGAGACTGCTAGAGTATTTTTCTGAGTTATTTTCTAAAAAAAACCCGGCTTTTTCCTTCCTCTTCCTGCTTCTTGTACCTGTTCAATGCCTCGACTAGACTTTTTTCAACCTTATCTTTCGTCCAGTCACTTAAAATATTATCTTAACTCTCAAAACTTTCTGCCATTTTAAAACACAGAGGGAAAACTTTAAAATGACGACGTCAATTGTGCGTCTGTCCTCTAATAGATCATTGGCGAGAACCAATCAAAACGCGAGAATAACTTAGGTTATTATTATAACATCGAATATTTTGTCCAGTTTGATCGAGAACTGCGCTGATTTTTACAAAATATTATCTCCCTCGTATTCTTGATCTGCCTCAAGTCTGAGTTGAAAATGTATGTTGAAACACACGAAGCGTCAAGTAAAAAGGTGTAAGGTTTGCTTTCTAACCATGCGTTTTATTGTCATGTTTATCACTGCAGTTTGCGTGTTATTTCTTGTTATTATATGGCTTTGTTACACAAGGACTGAGAACTACCGAATTCATGAATTACATTGGCTGAAATTGATATTGACCGTGGTCTACTTTTTCCCATCTTTTCCCATCTAGACCGGTATCTAAGACCGGTTACATTTTGCGAAGAAAAATATTAGTTCTAGAAATCAATAGCAAAAAAGGGAAAGAGGACGAGCAAACTTTGGCAGATTTAAGTTCAGCTCATCGCCGTTCGCAAGCAAAATGTCAACTAGTACAAACCGGTTACATTGAACAAAATTGAATTTTCCTTGTTTGCCATGTAATAGTTCTTATTAACCGAGCTCAGTCGGGCAGTATGGGAGAATCTTACTCTCGACGTGGTTCAAGATTCTCCCATACAGACCTCCTGCTTGGCTAATAAGAGCTAAATTAAGCTACAATACGAAGACTAAAGAAAAAGAGTGTTTACGATTGAGTTGCGGTGTGCTTTTCACTTGCTTGATCACTTGAACGTTGCAGCGTGATCTGCCTAGCTGTCGACCAATTTTTACTCCATTCCGATTTCGTAACAAAACGAATGAACGCAGTGACATCGATATGGTCACGAGATTAATCCCAATACTCCCAATAATTGTATTATATAGCGTATTTAATTCTTAGGATTTTAACTTTTAGGATTTAGGATTTTACGTTTTTAAAGAATTAGGATTTTAATTTTAAAGTATTGTAAAGCGCCATGGACAATTAGTGGAAAATGGCGCTATATAAATGTATATTTATTTATTTATTTATTTATAATGGCTTCTGGCTTATAATATAAGGTGTTCTGTAGGAATCTGTTTTAAGCGGTCACCCTATATTAAGGACATTAAAGCATTCGTCGAGGGTCCGCTTTATAGAGGTTTGACGTAATACAGTCGACCCTCCACTAACGACCACCTCTCTACAACGGCTACTTTTTTCGTCCCGGCGGACAGTCCATACATTTACTCTTATTTTACCCACTAAAACGCGTCCCAACCTCGCGACAAAGACCAGTCAATCAACGACTGACGAACGGTGCAAAGGGAACGCCATTTTTTAGTGTAAAAGTTGACGAGAATTGAGTTCATACCGCGCGTCGTTGGCCGCGCTGCCCTTTTTGGTTTCTGTATTATCGATATATTTTCATTGTGTTACGTATTTATATGCTACAATAACCATCTTTTAAAGATAAAAATGTTGCACCTCCGAAGAAATCGAGGTATCATATTGCACCCCTAATTTTAACGGCCACTCTTCTGTCCACAACGTGGCCGTTAACTGGTGGAGAGGTTCAACTGTATATCAAACAAGAAAGTCCGTGTTGACCACATTTCCAAACATCGACAGGAGAGTAAAAAATACGTCCCGTAGTGTCGTATTTTTGAGGAACTTCGAGGTGTTTGGAAATGTGGTCAAACACTTTCTTGAGTGTTTGAAATATTTCCTCATTCCAAACTAAAAAAATTCGATGAAATATCTGTGTGATGCAGATTATGTGGGCTATACAGCCCGCCACCTTTTTCAACACGTTGCTAAACACAGACACTCGGCAATTGGGAAACATTTTCTTGAAGCTCACGGCAGTAACTACCTACTGAATGAGAGCCATTTTAATATTTTGAGAACGTGTCAGAGCAAATTCGATTGTTTATTATTCGAAATGCTTCACATCACAAAAACTCAAGCCTACTTTGAATACCCAGCGGGACTGAATACGTACGAAAACGTTTTGTTTAACCAGTAGCATTTTCTTTGTTACTACTTCTTAATTAGATACTATTGTTCTTATTAGTATTTTAAGATTTTAGTTCCTTAACTTTTTGGCTTGATAATGATATTGTGAAAACGTCGAAACGTCGCCTAGCTTTTGAGCTTTTTTACCTTTTTATAATGATGTTTCCAAAAAATATTTTATCGCAGTTTTTTTCTCAGCTAAATGTTTTTCAAAACCGAAACTAAAACTAAGAAGGAAATGGAGAAATAAAATCGTAAAAATCTATGCTAATTAAGATAAGATATCCAAACACCGTCGCGGTCGTTATTTCCTTTGTACTGCAAACCTGATGAATTGTTAATGAGTTTGAGAATGTAGTATCAAAATGATTAATAGACCGTTTTCGATATATTAAAATTCAGCATGGCAGTGAGGCTTAGAGGATACAAATAAAGGAAACTGAATGAACATGTTTATTCATTTCTTTTGTTTGTGTCCTTTAGACCTCACTATCAAGCTGAATTTCAATAGATCAAAAGTGGCCTATTACAAATGAAGTGGAAATTATTTTAGCTTTACTCTATGTCTAACAGAGATATATGGATTGTTGATCTCGCAAAATAAAACTGAAATTACTTTGCTTGGTTTACTTAATCTTTCTGTTTAGCTAGAGAAACCAAATGGCTGCACCAATCAGATGCAAAGTATAAAATGGGCAAAATGTATAAAATGTCGACAATTATATGGTTTTTACAAGTCTGTTTCTTTTTTCCTCGTAGGAGTCTGATCTCCTGGCATGTGGCCATGACGTCTTCTTCACAAAGGAAATGTGGCGAGCTTCATCCAACCTCTGGCAAATTATGCGTAACAATACTAGCATCAGAATGGAGATCAACTAAAGGCGGACTCTCCACCTTAAACAGAGAATTAGCCATAGAGTTGGCTAAATGTCCTGAGGTGGAAATCTCTTTGTTTGTTCCACAGTGCAGCGAAGAAGACAAGAGAACGGCCCTTGGTCACCACATTAAACTTGTTAAAGCAACACGACGGCCTGGTTTTGAGGGACTAGAATTGCTCAGCTTTCCGCCAAATCATTTGCAAATTGATGTCATCGTTGGTCATGGGGTGAAGCTTGGTCACCAAGCACAAATAATAAGGGAGTCTCACAAATGTAAGTGGATTCAAGTTGTCCACACAGACCCAGAGGAACTGGGAATGTATAAGTCCTACCAAAATCCGATTTCCACGGGCGAGAAGAAGCACAAAGTAGAAGTGGAACTTTGCGAAAAGGCTGACTTCGTTGTGGGAGTTGGGCCGAAGTTGTGCGAGGCCTTTCGCAGATATCTTCGCTGGTGTAAGAAAGATGAAATAACTGTAAAAATTTTATAAATAAGTCACGTTATGTCCAGCTTTGCAGGAAGTTGTAAGATTACGAAAATTGTAATACACTCGAACCTCTTCTTACAGACACCTTTATATTAAGAACAGTTAATATTTGTTGCCAAAATTCCAGAATTCATACATTCTTAGACAGTTCATTTACTTCTAGGATACGGACACTTCCATACTCTTCATTAATACTAATATGGAAAATTGAGGAGACGATGAACTTAACCTAGGTTCTTGGTGCTTAGTGGTACACGAGACCTCAAGAAGAGTAAGGATCAAATAATGAGTCCAATAGGTTAGAGCGGTTTTTAACTGAGTGTCGTGAAAGGAAAACACCAAACCAATTACTTACCAATTAGACTACTCAGCCAATCTGAAAACCCAGGAAACCCAAACTGACCAAAACCCAAGACAGTAATTGCGTGACTACTTTCGACAATACAATACAATGTTTTTACAATGTTTCGTCGTGACTTGCAGTAATAAATTATGTATAAACCAGACAAACGCGAGATCATTTACTCAGCTAACCAATTAGATAGAAGATTATTATAACGGCAAGAATTTTGACTGCTTCCAGCTATGAAAAGTATTCGTGATCTGCAGCAAATGGAGAGTGATCCAAACGAGTTCAACAAGAAAACTGACGCAAGGGAGAATCTGCAAAAGATTGCTTCAGACAAGGGATTCAGCATTTGTGACAACCCAGGATCTGGAAACTGTATGTTCTACGCACTGTCAGAGCAACTTCAAAGCGTGAACGGAATCGAAATTTCGGTGACTGAACTGCGGAAAAAGTTAGTCGAATTCCTCAGGAACTCCCCCAAACTGGTAAGTCAGCGGTCTTCCGATGTGAATGAAACTGTGCTTTGTATAATACTAGGAAAACAGGGCTCTGAAATTTCTTCGAGAAACTGATGATGGAATCTGAATATTATAGTCCTTTCTCGAGCACGTAATCATGGTTATTGCCGGGCAAAATAACCAGCAAAAGATTTGGTATCACTAGGAACTTTGTGTCCCTGGCCCAATCGAGGGATGTTACCTTTTTAAATAAACTATGTGTCAACATAATTCCATAAATCTAGTAACAACCTGGTTAGGTTTTGATTACCCATTCAGTGTAAAAACGTGAATTATTGTTAAGAATATTGAAAACCAATCGCCGTTTACTTTGGTATAGGCCAGTACGACTGTCATATCGTGTCAGCTACTTTTAGTCCATTCAATTAACTTTAAACTTTTTCCGCTCTCAAAGACCGATGGAACAGATTTGTTCAACTTTGTCTATGGGTACCCATCTTGGGCTGACTACTTCAGAAGCATGGAAAAGGATGGCACATGGGGCGACCACTTGGTTCTCCGTGCCGCATCAAGCTGCTTCAGAACTCCTATTCGTGTAATCAGCAGTCTTGACTGTGATTTAGTCATCAATCCAGATCATCTTGTTGGCAACACCAGCCTGCTTGTTTTGGGACACATCCACGAGAAACACTACGTTAGTCTGCAACCAACACAAGGTAAGTTGCAAGGATTTGATGAGCCAGTAAAACCAACAAAAAATTTGTTCTCTCGATTTTAACGTAATTAACAAGTGGCTCCCAATTAGTTTGCTGTTTTAGCTCAATAGCAGGAATTTTCCCAATTTTGTTGAACCCGAAATTCAGATCACACCCGTGGTGTGATAGTGTAGCTATAAAGAAACATGATTTTCAGTTTTCCTTTGACATGTTATTATAGGAAGGTTTCAAGAAGATAACTTTAGATGCAGATGATAAAAGAATTTTTTTTAAAATAGTCGGTTTAAGCGTTAGTTTTAATAAATTTCTTTCAAGTCGCCACAAATAAGACATCGTTGATATCAGCAGTATAAGTATTTCTTCTGGTATGAACGTTGGGTGACTGACCGATGTAAGTGTGAATTTTGATTTCAGTTGTGTAATGTTTCAGTGAAGCCGTTATGTTTACATTTTTGGACTTCACCTCTAAAAAAAAACAGTAGTGAGAAGCACTTTTGCATGTTCATTTAACTTTTAATACTGTATTAGTGTTAATCGGCATACCAGGAAGAACTGATGATTTTCAAAAATGCAAACTTTGTGGCTAATCTTTTGTTTAATTTAAAATGCCTTTCTATGTGCAGGGCAAACCAATTTTGTTAACGGTCCAACTCAAAGCCGAAAACACAAATCTCCTACAGTTTCGTCTACTTCTAGTACCCAGGGTACCAAGAAGATACTTGGCGAGGACCATGCAGGTAAATAGCAGCTCAGAACTATAACAGATTTATAAATAAATCATGTTATGTAACTTTGCAGGAAGTTGTAAGTATACGAAAATTTTAATACACTGTCTCGAACGTCTTCTTACGGGAACATCTATATCACGGACAGTTAATTTGATCTCAAAAATCCAGAATTCATACATTCTTAGACAGTTCATTTACCTCTATAATACGGACACTTCCACACTCTTCATTAATACTAATATGGAAAATTGTGAAGACGATGAACTTCACACAGTTTCTTGGTGCTTAGTGGTACACGAGACCTCCAGAAGAGTTAGGATCAAATAGTGAGTCCAATAGGTTTGAGCGGTTTTCAATTGACAGTCGTAAAACGAAAACCAAACCAATGTACTTACCAATTAGACTACTCAGCCAATCTGAAAACCTAGGAAACCCAAAACCAAAACCCAAGTCAGTAATTGCCTGATTAAGGCTGTAGACGCTGAAATTCCAAACCCCAATTTGTTGTTATTTCGTTCAATTCCTATTCTTTCTTAGTTTTAGTTCAACGTTTAGTCTTGAAAAAGTATTTGTATGTATGTATGACTTGCAGCAATATATAACATCATGTATTAACCAGAGGAACGCGTGGTCTTTTACTTAGCTAACCAATTCGATAGACGATTATTATAACGGCAGTAATTTTGACTGCTTCCAGCTATGAAAAGTATTCGTGATCTGCAGCAAATGGAGAGTGATCCAAACGAGTTCAACGAAAAAACTGACGCGACAGAGAATCTACAAAAGATTGCTTC